GGACACAGTGATACAAAGTGACAAGTGCGTGTCCCCCTCAAGTGTTAAATACCATATGTGACATAGAGTAAGGTGAGTCTGAGTCCCTCTCTTGGTTGTCCTAGATTTTTTTTTTTTTTTTTTTTTTTGAGATACAGTATCACTCTGTCCCCCAGGCTGGAGTGCAGTGGTGCAATCTCAGCTCACTGCACCCTCCACCTCCTGGGTTCAAGCGATTCTCCTGCCTCAGCCTTCTGAGTAGCAGGGACCACAGGTGTGCACCACCTCACCCAGCTAATTTTGTATTTTTAGTTACATAGCGACAAATGTGACTGAGGTCTGCCTGCGCTCTCAGCTGATGCTGGTGCCTTTATTGCCTAGGCGTGTAACGCTCCTCAGATCTGCATCCTATCTTCTGCTCTCACATGCTATGTAGGATGAGGACACAGCTGACACACTTAGTCCCTGCACCTTGTATGATACAACAGCTGAGCGAGTGGGACACATTCCTCGCTCTCATTCTGTCAGTGTAACAGCATATAGCAGCTGAGAACGGGGTACATCCCTGACTCACATGATGTCACAATGTCACATATGATATCATACATAAGTCATCCAGTGGCCCAGGCATGGTGGCTCACACCTATAATCCCCATGCTTTGGGAGTCTGAGGTGGGTAGATCGCTTGAGCTGAGGAGTTCAAGACCAGCCTGGGCAACATGGTGAAACCCTGTTTCTACTAAAAATACAAAAATTAGCCAGGCGTGTTGGTGTGTGTCTGCATTCCCAGCTACTCAGGAGGCTGAGGTGGGAGGATGGCTTGAGCTGAGGAAGCAGAGGCTACGGTGAGCCGAGATTGTGCTACTACACTCCAGCCTGGGCAACAAAGCTAGACCCTGCCTCAAAAATAAGAAAATTAAAATAAGTCATCCAGTGATATAATGTGACTCACATCTGTAGGCCATCTCTTGGTTGCCATATGGTATTGTCAACCTTACATAGCAAGTTTCAGGAAATATGGTTAAATGTAGAGTTTATTTGAGCACAAACCTTGGCGACAGCCACCCAGGAACACAGATTCCAAAGAATGGAATTCAAGTGCCCCAAAGTGGAGAAGTTTTGGGGCTCATTTACATAAATGAGGTTTGGGAAGCTTAGCAGGGTTTCAACATATTCCCTCAAGGCTAGCCTGCAGCTACAGTCATCTGATCAGTCAAGGCAGTATTCCTTTATGGGAAAGGCATATTGAACATTTCACAGCCAGGCGCAGTGGCTCACGCCTGTAATCCCAGCACTCTGGGAGGCCGAGGCAGGCGGATCACAAGGTCAGGAGATCGAGACCATCCTGGCTAACATGGTGAAACTCCGTCTCTACTAAAAATAAAAAAAATTAGCTGGGCGTGATGGCAGGCGCCTATAGTCCCAGCTACTTGGGACGCTGAGGCAGGAGAATGGTGTGAACCCGGGGGGCGGAACATGCAGTGAGCCGAGATCACGCCACCGCACTCCAGCCTGGGCGACAGAGCAAGACTCCGTTTCAAAAAAAAAAAAACACACAATGAAGATGTGAAACGGGGTCTTTTGTACTGTCTCGTCTGAGTTAGGTACAGGACAATAATCTATGATGAAGACCAGTGACTAGAAGGGGAGGCCTGGTCTCTGGTTTCTCCTGGTCATTTACAGAACATGAACAGTGAGGAAGAGAGAATGTATGATCTGAGAAGCTGAAGTTGCAGCTACCTGCTTACGTGGCTCAGATCAGTCACATCTCTCTCAAGGCTCAAAGTGTCTGGGGGGTCCCAGCAGCTTTCACATTTTATCTGCTTTCACAACAGGTATGCTATATAGCAGTGTAATGTGTCTCAGGTCTGTGTCCCTAGTTTTGACTATTTGTGATTCCACGTGACACATAGTGTCATAATTGAGCCCGGCTCCTGTGTGTGATTTGTTAGTCCTGACCACAGGCAATAACAAAGGCTTTACGTGGTGGGGCTGATGGGAGAAACCCCCTCCCACACCAGGCTTGGTGCACAGCCAGTGCACAGCAGGCCCGGGCCGAGCACAAAGGCCACACGCACGGCCTGTTGGATGGTTTCTAGGCTTATTGGCTGAATTGCCATGCAAAAGTGGCTGCCTTTTAAAAGATCTTATGTAATGAGCTGAGCAAGGTCCCCGGGTGAGGCCTGAGCTGCCACCAATACTTGAGGAAGCAAATCAGAATCGGAGTATCGGTGCCTCCTCTTTGTTCACTGAAGGTTTCTCTCTAGTGAGCTGAGAGATCGTTCATCAGCCCCCATGGTCCTGCAATGGTTGATTTTATGTTGACCATCCTGGCTGGGCCACGGTGTGCCTGAATTGCACACTGTTCCACATGTGCCCATGAGGGCGTTTCCAGGTGTGCTTAGCATGTGAGCCAGTGGGTAAAGCAGACGGCCCTCCCCAGTGTGACAGGCATCACCCAATCCACTGAGGGCCTGAGTGGAACAAAGGCTGGGGAAGGAGAATTCACTTCCCTTTTCCCTCCCTCACTACTGGGGTTGGACATCTCATCTCATTTTCTCCTGCCCTCAGACTGGCATTTCCACATCTGCTCCCCTGGTTCTCAGGCCTGGGGAGGGAGGTGTGAAGGTGTTGGATGGGCAGCCACCAGTCAGAGCAGCACAGGCCTCAGGAGGGGTCTAGGACTCCAGGCCTCTGATCGTGCCCAGAAAACACCAAGGGAGATGGGGATCTTTATTTTTATTTACTTTTTTTTTTTTTGACGGAGTTTAATTCTTGTCATCCAGGCTGGAGTGCAATGGCATGATCTCAGCTCACTGCAACCTCTGCCTCCTGGGTTCAAGCAATTCTCCTGCCTCAGCCTCCCGAGTAGCTGGGATTACAGGCACCCGCCACCACGCCAGGCTAATTTTTGTACTTTTAGTAGAGACAGGGCTTCACTATGTTGGCCAGGCTGGTCTCAAACTCCTAACCAGGTCAGGGTTCCCTTGTGGAGGTGAAGACCCTTTGCGCAAGTCCTGGTGGGTCTTTGCAAGTTTTTCCTCACACTCACATCACTGGCACAGTGGTCATGGCCTGGCCAGCTTGGGACATGGGGGTGGCCATTGGGCACCTGAGTGACATTCACTCCTCCTCATCCTGCATGTGCCAGCCAGAGGACCAGCCCCCTGAAGTCTCACTGGGCTTTTGCCCAAGCCCGTCGGCAACATTCCTCTTCTCATTGGCTCTAAGTGCAAACCTCAGAACGTGCATGTATTACCGACTGCCCATGGGGTCTAAGGAGAATTCTATCCATGTTCACAACCCACCAGGCAGAAGGAAGCAATCTCACTTTCCCAGTGGCGCAGACGATGAGCAGCAACTGTGGACGGCTTTCCTGAGCTTTCTGGGTCTTCTCTGCATTATCTCTAACTAGCCATCAGTGTGACTCATTGGAGGTCTCTGGCACAGCAAAGACCCCTCGGCCCCTCATCACCAAACACTTCAGCAACCAGGCCCATGCTGCCACCAGGGCTCTGCTTCCGACCTAGCTGGTTGGCCTGCAGGATCTCACCTGTCATTTTTCCAAAGAGCACTATGATGGGATCAATCTCCAAGAGAGGAGATGAAAGATCCAACAGCATGGATCTGTCCGAGGCACGTGACCTCTTTTCTGCAAAACAAACACACCTACTTTTACAGGAGTTGCCGATTTGGCATGAGGAACCTAAAGTTCTTTTTTTTTTTTTGAGACGGAGTCTCGCTGTGTCCCCCGGGCTGGAGTTCGGTGGCATGATCTCGACTCACTGCAAGCTCTGCCTCCTAGGTTCACGCCATTCCCCTGCCTCAGCCTCCCGAGTAGCTGGGACTACAGGCAGCTGCCACCATGCCTGACTAAATTTTTTGTATTTTTAGTAGAGATGGGGTTTCATCATGTTAGCCAGGATGGTCTCGATCTCCTGACCTCGTGATCCGCCCGTCTCAGCCTCCCAAAGTACTGGGATTACAGGCGTGAGCCACCGCTCCGGGCCTAAAGTTCTTTACTTTGTAATAGACAGAAAAGGCCAGGCGTGGTGGCTTAAGCCTGTAATCCCAGCACTATGGGAGGCTGAGATCACAAGGTCAGGAGTTCAAGACCAGCCTGACCAACATGGTGAAACCCCATCTCTACTAAAAATACAAAAAAATTAGCCGGGCACGGTGGTGTGCGCCTGTAATCCCAGCTACTCAGGAGGCCAAGGCAGGAGAATTGCTTGAACCCAGGAGGCGGAGGTTGCAGTGAGCTGAGGTCACGCCATTGCATCCCAGCCTGGGCAACACAGCGAGCCTCTGTCTCAAAAAAAAAAAAAAAAAAAAAAAAGAGGTTGCTCTCTGACTGCCTGAGGGATTCAGGGCTGAGTCCACCAACATTGTTTCATGAAACTCTCCTCGGTCAGCCAGCGGAGGCGTCATGTACACAGTCAGCACTCCACAGCTCCTCACTTCCTGAGCATCTACAGCGCAAACCGACACCCACCACACTCACAGAGCACCTGCCGCATGCCAACCTGAGCCTCCCTCACAGCTCGCTTTCATCTCTTTTTCTCTCTTCACTGCAAGGTTTGTGCCCAAATGCAATTAGGCACTTTTTTTTTTTTTTTTTTTAACAGAAACAGGAACTAAAGAGTTTTAACTGGGCACCGCTATAGCAGTGGCTGTTGACCATCGTCTCCTGGCTGGAACCAGGGAATCCTGTCGTTCAGGGAGGAGCAACGCAGCAGCAGGCATGCCTTCTCAGCCCCAGCTGACTCACTCTGGGGTGGATGGATGGATTTACTTACTTATTTATTTATTATTTGGTTCTTGCTCTGTCGCCCAGGCTGGAGTACAGTGATGCAATCTCGGCTCACTGCAGCCTGGACCTCCCAGGCTCAAGTGATCCCACCTCAGCCTCCCAAGTAGCTGGGACTTCAGGCACATGCCACTACGCCAGCTAATTTTTTAAACGTTTTGTAGAGACAGGCTCTCGCCCTGTTGCCCAGGCTGGTCTTGAACTCCTGGCCTCAAGCCATCTGCCCACCTTGGCCTCCCAAAGTGCTGGGATTACAGGTGTGAGTCACCACACTCAGCCCACTCGGTTTTGAGTGGCCATTTGCTTTGACTCAGCAAACACTTCTGATGGTAACAAAGCACCAACTGGGTGGCTGGTTTCAATCCTATTCTTGCACCCAACACCGCAACATTTTACCTACCTGGAGCAAATGCTCTGGGGTCCTGAGGAGCTGGCCACACTGCCCATTTTGCTGGTGGGACAGTGGGAGGCCCTGCCCTCCTCCCATCCCACACCACTTAGGCAAGAGCTGTGCCCAGGAAATGTCACCCGTAACTGGTCTGCACAGACCCTGTCTTCCAAAAGGGTGCTGTGCCTCCATCAGACCCCATGGGCAGTACATTGGTCAAGCACATGCAAGACACGCCAAGGCCAAGGCCTGACTGATTTGACAGTAAAGACACAATAAGCCCCTCTCTTTTGGAGCTTATTACTCACAGAGTGAAAATAAGAGAAGCCTGAGGTGGCAGCTCCCTGCCGTCCTGGTGCCACACACTAAAAAGGACAGCACCGAAACAAAAGGGGTCAGAGAGCACGCGCTGCGGGACACCCACTGCGGAGCAGCCCCTGGAGACTGCGCCGGGCGGCATCCTCATCTGTGGCTCTGTTGTGGGGGCCGGGGGCAGGCAGCCTCCCCCTCACCAGGGCCAGCGAGGCAGGCAGTGAGGAGCAGTCTCTGGAGACAGAGGGAGTGAGAGGTGGCCTGGGTGCCGCCTGATGTTCTGGGAGGAGCAGGCTTAGGTCAGCTGCTGTGCGCACCTCTGCGTGGCCTGTGGGGATCCTGCAATGGCTCAGGGCCCCACGGCAGAGCTGTCTCTCCGCCCACACAACGGACACACAACCTGACACACGGAAACTCACAGAGACACAGAGAGGCACATGTGACACTCAAAGACAGACCCACACAAAAGCCACGCAGGAAAGCCTTTTGCCACACGTGCGCACACACACACACACACAGGTGCCCATCCCTTCAAACCTTGGTGTTTGCCCAGACACACCTGTGTCAGAGACAGGGGACCTGCAGCTCCCCAACACACACCAGTCACCCCACACTAACCTAAGGTGTCACCAGCCAGTCTGGAGGACTTGGGAGGCCAAATGGAGGTGGACAGTGGCCGCAGAGCAAAGGCCTTCGGTGGATAGCACCCGACGTGAAGAGCCATGGCGCCCACCGTGTCCACACACACAGGGACACGCACGTCTGTGCACCAGCTCCCCCATTCCTACACACGCATCACCCATCCCTGGGGCTCTGGAGGATGAGACCCCTCCCTAAAGACCCACAGGTGGCCCAGGAGTCCTCATGCCTGAGTGACCCACTGCTCATGTCCATGAAAAAGAAAGGGAACTTTTTATCTGAGGAATGTGAGCCCCCTTTAATTATCTGGCTCACAGAGGCACTGGAATGAAACAGCAGTCACATCCCACTCCCACTTGAGCTAAAGACCTCTTGAAGCCACATCCTTTGTGAGTTCCAAACACGCCAAGTAGACATAAAAAGCCATGCGCTGGACACCATAACCCTGTAGTCCAACACTGTATAGCCAGTCACTAAGGTTCTCTCTGGAAAGCAGTCAGAATTCCTGCTGACTTCGTATCAGCCCACTCCCCGTCCCCTTCAGTCTTTAAAAACTTGCTTGTGATAAGGCTGAAGGAAGCACTCCCAGGGCAACTTGGTGTGTCCTGGGCAGCTCTCTCAGCCTTGGCCCAGACAAACTCTCTATATGAACTGTGGTTCAGTTTCTTTCTTTAGGTTGACATCCACATTAGGGGAGCAGTGTTGCTGGGCTGGGGAAGCTGGTTCAGGTCCGATGTTGCACCAAGGGTGGGAGAAGGGGCCTTCCTGCATCAGCACCCGGACGAGGCAGAGCAGCAGGTGTCCAAACCCAGGCCTGGCTTGCTCCTGCTGTGGCTCACAGCCCCCATCCCACCTGGCAGACTGTGGAGCTGAAAACAGCGTTGCCCAGCTGGCCACAGCATGTATCATTATCACATGGCGCTGCCCTATATCCCCCAGTCTTCACACAGATACCCTTCATGGACTGGGGGACTGAGGGCAGGGACACTGGTACTGGTGAAACAGGCAGGCGTCTTCACCCAGGTGCTTATCCCACTGACGACCTCCGGGGGAGGTTAACAGTGACCGACCAGGCCCAGCCCCAGCTGGCTCCTGGCCACTCACTGCAGGCTCAGCTCCCACAGTCTCCACTCCCACCTCCAGCTCCTGCCATTCTGAGGGACCTGGAGGCCAGGGTGCCCTGCGCATGAGCAGCTCTGGGTTGTGGTCCGCCCTCCACGGCAGTGGCCTGAGCGCTTGTTGTCATTATTCACTTTATTAACTCCTGGTTTCTGGCTGGAAGGGATCACACAGACATGGCATGCAGCGGAGCCAATCCTGCCAGGGACTGAGGAAACAGATCCTGGAGAAAACCAGAGACTTTGCTGGCGCTTCAGGGGGACCCCAGTTGGCTCAACGCCCCCTCTCCCCCATAGCCAATCACTAACCAATGTTCTTTCTGGAAACCAGTCATCATTCCTAACCTGGTGAAAGCAGGGTCATCTCACACAGCCCAGCCACCCCGCAGGCAGCTAAAGAATGCCTGGTGAAACGCCAAGTCTGAGCGTGTCTGTGTCCCCAAGCCTTTCCGTGCCGCCTGCTGCTCTTCGGACAAGCCTCCAGCAGCCTCTGTAATGAGCAGCCCCCGCCCTTGTTTCCTGCGCTGGCTTCCGCAGCCTGGCCACACCGGTCCTCTCCTCCCTCCACCTGACCTGATACTGGCAGAACCTTTGCAGGAGCCTTTCCTCCACCCGAGCCCCTCCTATTAAAGCCTGTTCCTAGCCGGTTCAGCCCCAGCCACCAGAAGCCCCCCAGCCCCGGCCCAGCAGCTGGCCTGGGAACAGGGAAAGCGCAGTCTGGGCTCACAGTTCGCGCTGGGGGCCGGGCAGCCTGGGGCGACCATACAGGCCCAGATGGGGACTCCGGCTCCAACCGTCCTGGCCCAGAGGCTCTAGGGTGGTCCTGTCTGTCTCACCCCGCGGGCGGGGAGGACGGAGACAGACCCCAGCGCCACTGTTCGACCGCGGATGGTGCCTTAGACCCAGGTCCTGTGGGCTCCGGCCGGAGCCCCCCACTCTGGGGGAAGGCCGGTGACTGGGAGGAGTCCACCTCGCAGGCGCGCCGGTGCGGAGCCGGGACCTCAGCCCGCACTGACTCAGGGAGGGGTGGGATTCTCCATGGTCCTGCGATATCCAGGCGGCGGATCTCGCCTCTAGGGTCGCGCGGCAGCAGGCAGGTGCGAGGCTGGGCTGAGCGAAACCCTCCTAGGAGCCTCCGCGGAGGGGCGGGGCCCCTCTCCTCCCGAATGACGCAGGGGGTGGGGCGCGGGGCGGGGCACGGCACGCGGCCGAGCGCGCCGCGCTCGGGACTGTCGTAAGAGGGGCGGGGCGCGCTGTGTTCGGAACTGTCGTAAAAGGGGCGGGAGCGCCGCGCTCGGGATGACGTGAAGCTGGGGGCGCTGTCGCTGTTGCCGGCGGCTAGCGGGCGTTCGGGCCATGGAGCGTTATGCGGGCGCCTTGGAGGAGGTGGCGGACGGTGCCCGGCAGCAGGAGCGACACTATCAGCTGCTGTCCGCGCTGCAGAGCCTGGTGAAGGAGTTGCCCAGGTACGCGGGCGGGCGGGCGGCGGCCTGCCGAGGCGGTGTCGGGTCCCTCCAGGGCTCACCGCGCCCCCCTACCCCGCAGCTCCTTCCAGCAGCGCCTGTCCTACACCACGCTCAGTGACCTGGCCCTGGCGCTTCTCGACGGCACCGTGTTCGAAATCGTGCAGGGGCTACTGGAGATCCAGCACCTCACTGAAAAGAGCCTATACAACCAGCGCCTGCGCCTGCAGAACGAGCACCGAGGTGCGCAGGGGCAGCGGGACGAGGTGCCTCCTCCCCGGGGTCGGCGTCTCCCGGCAGCTCTTGGTATCTGTGCAGCTCGGCTCCTTCCCTGGGAGTGTTCGGAAAAGGCCCCCGAGATTGACAAAACCCATGGGCGCGGAGACTGAGACAGCGCCTTTTTAGTGACCAGTGGGTCCAACTAGTTTTGTTTTCAGTTGCTGCAGCCCCCACTTCTTAGCAGCAACTCCTTGCTCTGGCTTCCCTGTGCCGCAGCCCCTTCCAGGCGGGACGGCCCTAGGCCTCGGTGCCTGGTTGGCCTACAGGCAGACTCTGGTGGTGGCTCTGACTGGTTGCCCTTCCTAATTGGAGGTCTGTTGACAGCTGTGCAGCGAGCGCCCTTCAGGGTCAGTTCTCTCTCAGGCCTCGCAGGGCCTCATTCCAGTTGCACATCAAATTCCTAAGCACTATCTCCTGTGGCGCCCTCGCAAACCCGAAGAGCTTCCCACTTGAGCCGCATGCTTGGTGCGCTTGGGAGTCCTTTCCTGCAAATTATATAGGCCAGGTCCCCCTGCACCATCAGATTTCAACCTTCGCTATTTTATTTTTCTCAAACTTCTTTTAAAAGTTGAAACATTTAGAAAAGCTGAAAAGATAGTCTACTGCGTGCGCTTGTGCTCGCCGCTGAAAGTTCAGTAGTGAACGTTCTGCTCTAGTGCTTGATATCCCAAAATGCGTGCATGTGACAGCATAGCGGTTCACCTAGAGTCTTCAGCGTTCCTGGAGACCAGGATTTTCAACCCAGCAATGTTGACATTTGTGGCTGGGTAAGTCTTTATGGTGAGATGCTGTCTTGCGCATTGCAGGGTGGCAGGGGTACCCTCCCTAGTCCGGAAAACCAAGAATGCCTCCAGACAACCGAGGGGTGGGGTCAACCTTGGCCTCGGATTGGGAGCAAGTTCTCTAGAACAAGAGCGGTCTCCTACACAGCTGCCGAGGGTAGCCCCCTGAGAAATTAACTGTTCCGGGTGACTCCTGACTTTCAGTGCACGGCCACATCATGCTACCTTACTTGTGGCAAATTGTTGATGTATAAGTAAGGATCCAGTCCAAGTTCATATACTACAATTGGCTACTTTGGTCTCTTTGCTTCTGGAACAGTCCCCAGCATTTATTGTGGCATTGACTTTGTGTAGAGTCCAGGGCAAATGCCCTGCTGTGGATCTATCAGGTTGCTTCCTCGTGCATTTAACCTGCTTCTCCATTCTCTGGGTTTCGTGTACACTGGACTGCTGGTAGAAGCCTGATTAGAAGCAGGTTTAATGTGGCAAAAATTCCTCCTAGCGGAGCAAGGCGCCCTTCCCCAGAAGGCAGGCGCTGTCCATCTGCTCCAGGATTCGTGTTTCTATCAAGAATGGATGTCGGATTTTGGTAGACCCCTGTTTGGCAGCTCTTGAGATGATCACGTTGTGAATCATTTTCTATGACTACAGTGAATTACAGTTACTTGAATTCCATCCTACTTGGTCGTGCTGTAGTATCCTCTTTATGTACGCTGGATTTGATTTGCTAAAATCTTGTTAAGAATTTTTTTGTCTATGTTCATGATAAAATGTGGTCTATAGTTTTCATGTAATATCTGGTTTGGGTATCAGGGTTTTTGCCAGCCTTATAGGATGAGTTTGGAAGTGTTCTCTCCTCTTCAGTTTTCCAGAAGAGTTTGTGTGTAATTGGCATTACTTCTTCCCCTAAATGTTTGGGCGTTTGTCTTTTTAAAATTTTTTATTGAGCTGTAAGAGGCATACAGTTTAATCCCAAGGGCATGGCTCATTATTCCTTATTGCTCAGACTGTGCCATGTGTGGCCAGTGGGGGCGCTCCAGGCTCCTTTAGATGCCTCCCCGTCATTCTGTGAGTACTTCCTTGCTTTCTGGTTCAGGTACATGTTTATGCTTATCTTTTCTTGTTTTCTCCCTGTCTCAATCCTGGAATCCGCCATTTTTCCATAGAGCTGTGGTTCCTTCTAGCAGGATGGGGAGTTTCAGTAACTGCCTGGGCCCAGTGCTGTTTGTGCTTCAGGTTTGGGCCAGGCCCTGGTTCCACCAGCAGCAGGCATGCCTGCGTTGACTTTCTCCTTCTCCTTTCTGATTTGGCAGGGGTGACTGGCTGCTCCTGCCTCCTTTGTGTTCCCTGGGCATGTCTAAGGCCAGGCCCTTTCTACACAGGCAGCCGGCGTGGCTCTCTTCTTGCCTTTTGGTTGCCTACCTAGTGGAATCTGGTAGTGGGCCTGGCACTTGTAGCACTGTTTGATCAGTAGAGTGAAGGAGGTGACATTTCCCTGCTTCCCTGTGTTATGGAGATGTCTCGAGGGAGCTCTTGGTTTGAAACATATTTCATGTGATAAATGCCATCACTGAGGTGTGTACAGAATGCCAAGAAACAGGAGATCGGGGAAGGCTGCAGGCACAGTGGAAGCCAGGCTACCTGCAGGGGAGCCTCAGGGACCCTGAAGTTCCCTGGAAACTTGCTACCAGAGAAGAGCTGCAACATCAGGGCTCTTTCCAGGAACAGAGTGTTGGGTTTCACGTTTCTTGTGACCAGGGACCCCTCCTTCCTGGGGAGCTGTAGCCATTTGGCACTTACTGCAGTGGCGCCAGCTGCGGGGTGCTGCATGTTCCATTTTTGCCATGATGGTTTATGTCCCATGATTACTTCCTCTGTACATTCTCTTCAGACTAGAGTTTGCACACATCTGTGTTTGTGCACAGTTCAGCAGGGACCGTGGAGCTTTGATTGGTGGCCGAGGGTGAGCCCCTCAAAGCCACACAGACTCCCTGACCCAGAGCCGTACAGGCTTATGGCACCCCAGGTTCATCCCAAATTTGGGCCTGCCAGGTCAGCTCACCCTTCTCCGTCTGGCGCTGTGCAGGGGCTGGGAGCTGCAGATGGGGGAGGCGGCTGCCCACCCTGAAGGGTGGAGGGGCCGAGCACACCCCTGGTAGGCAGAGGCCCCACACTCAGGCTCAGCGACCCCGCTCCTCCTGCTCCTTTCCTGTGCTTTTGTCTGAGGTGGTCTCCGACACTTGAGTAGATGTCCAGTGGCCTGTGGCCATGGGGACCCTGAAGCCCTCAGACTGCAGCCTCCCTCCCACCCGCCTCCTCCAGCTGCCCTGGGTCTGGGGCTGCAGCTTTGGCCCCACCCCGCCAGTCTTCCCCACCCCACCCTCTTTCAGTCCCCCGCACCTTCTGGAGTCCCCTGGAGACTTGCCATTGGAGAGCCCAGCCCTGGGTGACAGTGGGGTGGGAGGATGGAGGAGGCTGGCGTCCCCAGTGCAGATACCCCTTTGGCCTGGCTGCTCCGCTGGGCTGGCAAGGCAGGTGCCCATGGGTGAGGGCTGCTGCCGAGTCCCACCGCCTGCTGACTGGCTCTCATCCCTCCCAGTGCTCAGGCAGGCGCTGCGGCAGAAGCACCAGGAAGCCCAGCAGGCCTGCCGGCCCCACAACCTGCCTGTGCTTCAGGCGGCTCAGCAGCAAGAACTACAGGTATGGGGGGCACAGGCAGGGTGGCCGGCCCAGGTGTCTTGTGGGCACCACCTGGCTCTGCTGACTGGGCTGAGCTGAAGGGGTGTTGGGGCTCAGGCGTGGGTGGCTACCCTGGGCCTGAGTGGGCCATTGGAGGCCTAGTGAGTCCCACCAGGTGGCTCCTCCCTGAGGGTGCCAGGTGTGCTGGGGCTGGGTGGAGGGTGAGGGCCCACCGTTGCTCCCCTGGATAGCAGCTGCTCGTGGGTTGGGGCCTCCGCAGAGCAGGTGGCCTTGAGGGGGTACAAGGGCAATGGTGGGGTGATGGGGCCAGCCAGGAAGGGGCCCATCCTTCTCCCAGGGAGCACAGGGACAACCAGAGACTGGCATGTAACCAACAAGCCATGGGGCAGGGTGTGCCTGCGGAGACGTTTGTGTGGTCCCAAGGCAGCCCCAAGTTAGGGCATTCGTGGAAGCCCCTTAGGGCCCCCTTCAGGAGTTCGCATGGCCGAGGAGAGGCCTGGGTGTGCTGAGGATGCATCGGTGGTGTCAGAGCTG